ATTTTTTTGATAAAATTCCTCCTCTGAGTCAAGCTCACAGTGCTGGTGGAGAAGGGGGATTACGCAGAGACTATGAAAAGGCTGCCCTGAGTCAAAGATACAGACTGGATACTGAAGGGCAGTATTTCATGACCCTTCCTGTGCCCATTAACTGAGTTACTTGGTTCTGGATCTCCTGGCACAGACCATCTGGGCCACAGGACCGGATGTCAGGCTGCACGGATTTAAGTCATGTACCTGAACTGGTTGTGCTGGTGCAAGTCGGGAAAGATCTGAGAGAGGGCCTCACTCTCCTCATTGGCCATCAGCTGCGTGAGGCTCTCACTGGGCTGGGAGGCTTGGAGTTTCTTCTGTACTAACTAGAGGGGAAAAAAAGCAAATGGTGGTTACGGCCTTAGCGTCTCTGCATTTTCCTAATATCATGATCTGGACCCCAAAATATGAGAACTCTTAAGCTGTTCCACTGGACAGAGTCATGCCAGATACTTAGAGAGGCAATTCTGAGGTCATATCTGTTTGTTTATACCCCTGTACTGTTATAAATGTCCTTTGTATACCAGGTCCTGGGTTCAATCCGCAGTACTGCCACTTAATAAATAAATAACCTGATTACCTAACCCCTGCAAAAAAAAAAAAGCTTTGGTGGCCTAAGGATAATATCATCATTGAATACTTTTAACATAATTTAGAAGATAAGCTATTCTTATTAACATACCTTAAAATGTTATCAAATAGTCTATTAATATAAACTTTAATAAAGCTTGTGATACTTGGTTTTACATTAAAATGGAGGGGGAATTAAATATTTATTGTAGGAATTTAAAGTTTTACAAATTAATTTTTCTAAGAAATATCCTATAATGAGCTGCTTTTTATGCCAAGGTAAAACTGCTTATTTTTCTGTTGCCTGTGACCCCCAACAGATGCTCCAATTGTGCACACTGTTTATACTCATTCAGTATTTATTGAATATCAACTATGTGCCAGGCGCTGGGGAATCACAGTGAAGAAGATTGATAAAAATCCCAAGCCTTCATTGACTTTATCATGTAGTTCAAGTCAAGCTTGTGTTCATCACACTCTTAAGACCTGGGGCAAAAGGCTCATGTGGCTTCTCTGAATTCTATCAAATATTTAAAGAAGCAGTAAAATACCAATTCTTTACAAACTCAGAAATAGAGGAGGGAACAAGTACCAAATTACTCAATTAGGCTAGTATTACTCTGATACCAAAGCCAGGCTATCACAAGAAAACCACTGACTATGTCCTCTAATGAACATAGAAGCAAAACTCCTTAAGAAAATGCTAGCAAACCAAATCTAGTACCATAAAAAAGGATTATATAAATGGAATTTATTGCAGGATCACAAGTTTGGTTTAACATCTAAAAATCAATTAATGTGATATACTGTCTTAATAGAATAAAGGGCAAACTACATGATCATCTCAGTAGATGCAGAAAAAGTATTTGGCAAAATCTAATATGCACTCGTGATAAAATATCTGAATAAACAAGGAATACAAGGGGACTTCCTCAACCTGATAAAAGGGCATCTACAAAAATCCCAAGATTAGCATCATACTTAATGAAAGGCTGAATGTTTTCCCCCTAATATCAGGAATGAGGCACTGATGTCTGCTTTTCCCACTTCTATTAAACATTGTTCTGAAGGTTCTAACTAATGCAACAAGGCAATAAATAAACAAGTGGATCCAAACTAGAAATGAAGTTAAACTGTCTTTATTTGCAGATGTCATGAATGTATATATATATGTAGAAAATTCCAAGAAATCTACAAAAACTACAACTAATGAAAATGATTAATAGACAAAAATCAATTGTATTTGTATATATTTTCACTGAATGATGCAAACATTAAATTAAGAAAACACAATTCCACTCACAATAATATCAACAATCAAATACTTAGGAGTAAATTTAACAAAAGAAGTGCAGAACTTGTATACTAAAAGCTACAAAACATTGCCAAGGGAAATTAAAGAAGATTGAAATAAATGGAAAGACATTCCATATACATGTATTGGAAGACTAAATATTGTCAAGATGGCATTTTCCCGCAAATTGATGTGTAAATTCAACATGTCCTTATCAAAATTCCAGAAGGCTTTTTCTCATATAAATTGACAAGCTAAACCTATAATTTACAATCAAAGGATCTGGAAGAGCCAAAACAATTTGAAAAAAAAAACCCAAAAGCAACTGGAAGACTTACATCACCCAATTCCAAAACTTACTATAAAGCTACATTAATCAAGACATTGTGATATTGCCACAAGAATAGGCAAACAGATCAATGGAACAGATTTGAGAAGCCAGAAACCTTTACATTTATGGTCAATTGATTTTTGGCAAAGATGCCAGTACAGTTCAATGGGGAAAGGATAGCCTTTTCGACAAATGGTACTGGGAGAACTGTATACTCAACATGCCAAAATAAAACAAAACAAAACAAAAAAGTACTTAGACCCTTACCTCACATCATACACAAATACTACCCCCAAAATGGATCAAAGACCTAAATGTATGAGCTAAGTCTGTAAAAATTCTAGGAGAAAATATAGGATAACATCTTTGTGACTTTGGGATGAACAAAGGGTTTTTAGATGTAACACCAGAAGCCTGATCTGTAAAAGAAAAAAATGGATAAGTTGCACTTCATCAAAATTTAAAACTTTTGCTCCTCAAAAGATATCATTAAGAAAATGAAAAGACAATTCAGACTGGGACAAAATATTTGCAGATTATATATCTGATAAAGGACATGTACCTAGGATATACAAAGAACTTTTACAACTCAAAAAGAAAAAAATAATTTAAAAATGGACAAAAGATTTGAATAGACCTTTCACCAAAGAAAATACATAAATGGCTAATAAGCCCATGAAAAGTCGCTTGACATCATTAGCCATTCAGGAAATCCTAATTAAAAACACTATATATCCACTAGAATGACTTTAATAAAAAAGATAGACAATACCAATGTTGGTGAGGATGTGGAGAAACTGAAACCCTCATGCAGTACTGGTGGGAATGTAACATGGTACAGTCACTTTGGAAAACAGTTGTCCAGCTTACACAGAAATTTACCACATGACCCAGCAATTTCATCCTTGGAATCTATCCAAGAGAAATGAAAACATATATCTATATAAAAACTTGTACACAAATGTTTGTAGCAGTATTATTCATAATAGCCCCAAACTGGAAATGATCCAAATGTCCATCAACTGATGAATAGATAAACAAAATGTGGTATATCTATACAATGGAATACTATTTTTTGGTTCATTTATTTTATTTTTTTAACATTTTTTATTGATTTATAATCATTTTACAATGTTGTGTCAAATTCCAGTGTTCAGTACAATTTTTCAGTCATTCATGGACATATACACAC